GCTGCTTTTGGAAACCACATGTTTGAAAATTTAAGATGTATGAGCAAAACATGCTACACATTCAGGTCTTCCAGAAACACGTTCAGACCCAGAGTAGAAAGGGATCTGGAAGGTTTGACTGAGTTTGCAGAACAGCTTGTTGGCCCTGGTACTGATCCCCTGACACTGAACACACAGACAAAAAGCAGGTCCCGGAAACGCTCAAGGCGGACAGGTCCCTTTGCTCTCATCACCCCCAAAGTGAGCAAGTTTTCCTTGGGTTCTCACAAGGCTGCCTTGACGAGCATGGCGTGACTTAAAGTACAGGGGAGCCCGGGCCTGTATGGGGGTTGCGGAGGCAGGAAGGCCCCGGGCCTCGTCTTCAGCAGCCGGGCTTCTACCTGACAGTACACCCCCTTGCAAAACCGATCAGAATTGGGAAAGTTTCGAGTGAATTCTGCCTGTGGACGTTGGTACTGCCAGCTACTTCTGCAAAGGCAAAACCTGAGAGATTCCAGTTGTCAGGCTCGACTAGGTTATCACAGAAAGAAGTGTTCTTTAATAGCATTTCAGGGCACCCTTCCATTTTTGAAGCAGATTTTGCTTATTGGAAATTTGCACACAAAAGTATTTTGACCTGAGAATTTAAACATAAAGCCAAGCCAAGGTACTGTAAGATGCACGGCTGACTGAAATGGGAAGGGCTGTGGTAGAAACTGGCGGTGGATCAAGTATACCCCAGGAATTCACTGTTTTCCACCTCAACCGGGAAGCGTTTCTGCGCCGAGCGCTACACCAAGCAGGGGGAGAGTCACCTAGGAGGGCCCCTGAATCAAAGGCCAGGAGAGCAGCCGACTCGGGACCTGCCCTCTCTTTGACAGCCCGGCTCTCCTTGCTCTCAGGCGCGAGGACGGGGGCCTCTGGGCTCCCGGGTGCGTCAGCCCGAGTCGGGGTGAGGGGACCATGGCCGTCGTTTCCCGAAGAGTCTGGAGCTAGCGGGCTGGGCCCCGGGTGGCTCTCTACAGGGCGCCTCCCGACCGCTTCCTCTCCTCTGGGTCCGGTTCCAAAGGCCCCCAGACTCCCAGGGAGCCTGTGGGCATTGGGAGACAAACCATCAAAAGAGGTCTCGCCGGCAATTCCGCAGGAGCCTGTGCCCTCACGTGGGGAAGGGGAGTGGCTGCTGCTCTGGGAGGATCAAAGCCTCAGAGACACGGACTCAACATTCAAAGAGACTCAGGGAGAGAAAGGCGGGGACGCCTTCTAATCATCTAACAGCTTGTTTCTGCCCAGTTTTACCCAATCCCCATGCACAGAAGTAGGACAGCGACGTGACAGAACACAGAATGTGCTGGTAGCCTCGCCTCACAAGCCCACCGGATGCCCTTGGGGAGCGCGTGTGTGTAAATACACACTCACGTGTGCGTACAACATACGTGTCACGTGACATGCCAATTGGGGGAAAACAGGAATAAAAGTAAAGAAATTGGCTTTTTAGATCAGGAAATACAGACTTAATCCAAATACATTATGTTGCTCTATGTAGAGGACAAAAATAACATTTACTAAAACAAAGGGGAAAAGTTTGGCAGCGGAATTCCATTAAAACATGACCTTTAAAGATGGATTTCAGTTCTTCTACAAGTTAACATACCCAAATCTTTCAAGTTTGAGCAAATTAAACTTTGATAGATTACCTGGTGAAATTGATACCTTGTTAAGTGTTAAAATAAGAGTTCATAAAAAAAAAGTTTATTAAGAAAGATGTGATTTTCCAATAGGTAAAGCAAACAAAAATATCACACACTTACGCGTGTAAACTAACTAAGAACCTTTAGCATGCTGACTCTGTCTATGAGATAGTTCTATTTTAAGGGGGAAGAGGGAAAAAAAGGTTTAAACGTGTTTGCATTCGAAGCTAATAATGCAAACTACTAACTGTTTGGAAACAGTTTATGAGAAGCCCGCTGATTTTTCAGGAACCCTCCACGAGTCCGCTGGAACCTCAAACCCCAAACCACGGATTACGCGCATGCAGGGGCATGGCACGGACCACCGGGGACCACAGGGGATGGACATTGGAAGACGTAGACCAGAGCTTTACGAAGGGCCAACCACACGAGGGCCTTCCCACTAGAAGAATCTGGCAACAACACCGCTGCTGTGCAGTTTCATTAGGACACGTGGCCTCTCTGGCTCTCTGGGAAGAAGGAATCACACACCCAGTCCCTCCTCCAGACCACCAGCCCCGAGCCTCCCCTCCCCTCCCCTCTCTCCCAAGGCCTGTGCCCTGCATCCTTCCTTGCATGGGAACACTCAGGTCTTTCGTTTAAAGGGTGACCTCATATGCTAGTATCGGTAAAACCTATGACACTGCCACCTACCATTCCACCTTTCCTAGGCCATTCACTTACTTCTATACTTACACAATACTCTTTTTCTCCTTCGGAAACTTTATAAAATGAATTGAATATTTCCATCATGTCCCCATGAAATGAAGCATAATAGTAAGTTGTTCAATTTTCCTTGTAACTCCGTGGTGAGAATTACACTGAGGTTATCCAGAACCTCACCTGTATTGTAGAATTAGCAAAGTGCAGAAGTCCGACGATTCGAAAACGAAGCGTGGAAGCAACAAGATACTGTCCTAAAATTACTGTTTTGTGCTTGAAATGCTTTAAAAAACTTTTCAGACAGGTTTTTTAAACTTGAAGGGGGTCTCTCCATGGCAGTTACAGAAAAACCTAAGAAAGTATGGATACATGAATGAACGAATACCTGCTTCGTTTACAAATGTACAATCTTCTACGCGTAACTACACTCTTACAAGTCCTTAATCCATGACTCAGCTAAATGGAGAGCTAAAAATCATGGCATCCTTATCCCCTGAGTGTGTTCTGCTAAAAACAAATCAAAACAACACAACAGCCTAGTGCCAGCATGTTCTCACCAGTAAACAGGCCACTTTGAGGGGGCAAACCTCCACATTTAATCAAAGCAGTTCCCACAAGGGTGCCCTGTAGTAATTTCAAAACTAAGCCCACCAGAAAATCTTTACAATAATTTCATTTCCAAATTTTCCTAGATCCTATTTTTAAAGGAAAAGTTTTTTTCTGTGTTCTCCCCCCTACCTTTTTTTATTATTATTAATCTGGATTGAAGAAAAGCACACATTTCATTTATTGTCTGGATTACAGATTCTTATTAAACAAACCAGAGCTCATTATAAAATCAATACCAACTTAACCACCATGCCCCCAGGAGGAACCACATAAAGGTCACTCCAAGAAATTCAAACAATTTTCCTGCTGGAAGGGCATGATTTTAATTACAGATACTATTAATTAGAGCTGTCACCGGGAAGCTTTTTTTTCTGTTAATTATCACAAACTCAGTCCTAAGTGTGCATTTGCAACCTGCACTTTTGTCAGAATTAGTCACTTCTGCATGCAAGTCCAACCTTTCCATTCTATCAATATTTTATATTCAAATTTCAAAGCATATCAAAGGATGCCGTGCTTTCTGCAAACCTCCGCCCGTAGGATCTGCCGTCTCTCACACACCTAACAGAGCTAGTGTGACAATTTATTTATGTCCCGCACAGGCCTGGCCCAGAAGAGACCCAAACGCCTACACTGGTTCAGCTCAATAGAATTTCTGGATACATTCTTACTAGTTTGTGTGACATTTTTCCCCAAGCTTCTTCTTCAAATGTGCTTTTTCTTTTGCTTTGAGGCAAAGCTAGCCCCTGAAATGCCATCTCCCACACATCTGAAGTTGCTGTTTCTTTATAAGAAAAGATCGTACTGACCAGGCTTCTGACCCCCTCCAGAAAACCAGAGGTTTTCTTCATTCAACAACACCACTGAGAGTTTTGAAGTAGGGAAAATAGTACTTTCTGGTCTCTCTTAAGCAGAGCGATTTTATCAGTTCATCCCAGCACCTTATGTGAGACAGGGTCAGGGTGGCTCTCAGACAAGCTCCTGGGGGTGGGGGTGGGGCGGTGTTCTAGACAGAGCTTGAGCAGCTCCCCAGCAGTGCAACTGTGATGACAGAATGATAACATTTATAGCCGTGACTGTAAAACAGGATGCGTTATTTACACGACATATTCCATATCACAATCACGTGACTTCAGAAGACAAAGACTCTACTCCAGTGGGAGAAAATCTTTTACAAAATGTATCTATTGAACATCAGAAAACGATGATTACGTAAATTACCTTCCCAAATGGGAAAATATACTTGGAGTTGCGTTATATTTTACGTTAGAAGAAATCAAATGCCCTGACTGGTATATATTCTGGGCTTGCATGAAGATGTGTTTTCATTACAGAACATTATTAAATCTGGAGTGTGTGCTACGGAACTCCCAAACATTCTGTGAATATTTTTTTATGTCCAGTTTCGTCTGAACCTCCTCCCCTCAGTCTCATTGGTTCCAATTTTTTTCCAGGTGTGTCTGGACTGTTTCTGCATCACCAGTGCATGGCTCCACCACTGCTCTCCTGAAGACATCCTTGGTTTACTTTCCATCTATCAGCCTTAGATGCCACTTTATCCAAATAACAGCGACGGTGGCAACAGATCAGGTCAGAGGATCTTTTCACATAAGATCCTGAGGAAGTCCATGATTTAAGAGACATCTTCATACATCTACACAACCAATTTATCTTGCAACTCTGGCATTTTTTATTAATAGTGGCCAAACTAAGGAAGATAACAGATAATACATAATTCATGTATTATACTTTTTTCACATTTCTAATTAGCAGCCCGCTTTCACAGCTAACATGAGACCATCCCAGAACAGCATAAGATTAATTTAGAGCAGGAAAACTAGGGTTTCAAGGTATTTACATGAATGCTAATGAGAAGTTTCAAATCGTCATCACACAAGAACCCAAACTATGAATAAATGAACAACTGCTGGGAATGGGGGAGGGGCCAAAGACGACTTAAACAATCCGTCCATTCCAGTGGTGAATGGAACTGAAACAGCACTTAGAAAAGTCTCTTTTTACCTGGTAGGCGTTGGTGGCATCGGGGTCCGGGTCGCCCCCAGGTCCCGAGAGCTTCTCCTTCAGCCTGTACTGAGAGCTGTGTCGTAGGCAGTAGATGACGCCGGACGCCAGCAGGACCGCCACGATGGCGACGATGGAGACCAGAGTGAGCACGATGAACTTGGTCGAGTCCTCTCGTTCTGCCTGGTGAGGCAGAAGCTTGGGTTTGCTTTTCTGCAGAATAGGAGAGGGGGCAGGTTACTACCCAGTGAATCATGAGTCCTGAAAACCATCCCTTCCAAACGCAACCTAAAACGTAAAGCTCTGGGCTGGCACTGAGACAACAGGAGGGCATCCAGGAAAGCAGCCCTCGGACCAGAAGCTACAGTCATTTCAACACAGCGTGCCACAGACGGCAATGTTTTCACAAGGAAAGTCATTAGAGGCGTCACTTTTTTTTTCTCTTAACGGCCGCCGTTTTTCAAACTTAACGGTATAAAGTATTTGGCAGCTAATTCACTGCCTTAAGTAAAATAAAGCCTTCGTCCCTTCTAAAGAGGTATGCGGGGAGAGGATGCTTCACAAACGGTGGGGCTGGGGTGGATGGACCGGATGGGGGTGCCTAGCTCCTGCTGTGCGTAAGGGTACCAGAAGTCCAACCACTGAGCCTGCTTCTGTGAAGCGTCAGGCTAATATTCTTGGATACACTGCAGGGAGTTGCCATCCCGGAAGCCCCTCCACTCGCCTTCCAAGGCACGTCCCCTCGTCCCCTCGTCCAGACCTCGGACCTGGGCCGCGTCTACACCCCGCACAGACCCCGCACTTCGCACCTCGGCACTTTTCCTTGAAAGGAGCTGCGAGACAGGGGCGCACTATGGTCCAGGAGTTCACTTCTCGGCGGGTGAAAGGTAAGGGAGCCCAGGTCCGTCGGATTCTCCTGCTTCGGGGGGCGGGGTGGGGTGGGTAAGAACATCCTTTCGGCGCGTTGCACGAGTCTCCATGCACACAAAGTTGCACAGTGCGCGCCCTCATTAGCTTCATTATAAGGAATATCAGCGACAATTAAAACGCCAGTGGACGATGGAGACTCGGCCAGCACACCCTTCCGCAATTACTCGGGGAATGAATAGAAATGCACGCCCCCGCCCCAGTCCTGGTTGCTACAAGATGAGGACAATTAGCAAACTCCTTTCCACCACCTAATTTCGCGTGGTAACAAAATGGATTTTTCCCCATGAATGCCTGGCCGGCCTATTCATTATCTCTCTTCTATTAGTAATTTTCTGCTCCGTATTCAGCCTCCCAACTCTTCATTTCCTCCTGTCTCCGAGTGTACACAGGGCCTCTTATGTCAGGCCGGGCCATTTTTATCTTGTAATCATAAAGGCCACCAAAGCAATTATCGCCGGTCCTGACTGGAAAAGCTGGTCATTAATTAGCTTCCTTTTGCCTTCGGTGCCGCGGATTAGCTGGTGCCGGGACTGGGTTAATGGAAACGCGGGTGAAATGAGAAAAGACGCCGGATTTTCTTGCCTGGATGCGAGGCTCCGAGGAGGACAGCAGGTCCACCAGCGGCGGGAGGGACGGAGGCGCGGGGACGCTAGGGGGAGGCGCGGAGGGGGGGGGGGGGGGGGGGGGGGGCGGGGCGCCCGGGGGGGGGGGGGGGGGGGGCGGGGGGGCCCCCCCGGCCAGTGCGGCCGGTGCGCGCGGCCCTCGGCCTGGAGGGAGCGGCGGGCGGAAGACCTTCCCATCCTCTCTCACCCCTCCCCTCGCCCCTCCCTCCCCGGCCCAGAAAGAAGTCACCCGGAGGGCTGCCGGCTGCCAGCCCCGCAGGCCCCGCTTCCCCCCGGCACCGTGTCCCCGCCCCGCGCGGCGACAGGCCGGACCGCAGAAATAAACCGGAGGGACCCGGCCGCGGCGCCGGAGACGCGGGCGGACCGGGAGGGGGCCCGACACCCCCGTGCCCGGCTCCTTGGCCCCCGCGCGGTGCCGCTGGTTCACGCCTGTCCTCCCGCGGCCGGTTCAAGGGGAGCGCGCCCCTCTCCAAGCCCTCCGGCCCGGGACGCTCCCCTGAGAGGCCGGCGAGGCTCCGGCCGCCCGGGTTCCCACCCCGCCGATGCGCCCCTCCCCCCACTAGTGCTCCTCCGCTCCCGGGAGAGGCCGGCTCCGAGCCTCCGCAGACGAGCGGGGACAACAAAGGAGGGCGCGCGGCCGGCGGAGGGGGCGTCCCGCTAGACGCCGCTCGGCGCCCCCAGCCGTCACTGCATCCCCCACTCCGCCCCGGCGCAGGCGACCGGCGGCCCCCGCCCCGCCCCCCCCAGGGGAGCCAGTCCAGGCGTCGGGGGGACCCCGCGCGCCCACGTGGCTGACCGCGCCCGGGTACGGGGACTTCCCGAACCCTCCTGCCCCGCGACGTGAAGCGCACACGCGCGCGGTGACCAGCCTGGCTCCGAGGGGACGCGCAGCGCCTCGGTGGGTGGCCACCACCTCAGTGCGCAGCCGACGGGCGGTCGCCAGGGCGCGGAGGACTGAGGACCCGAGCAGGGTCCGGCCCAGGCGCGGGGTCTCGCTGGGTAAGGGGCACAAGCGTAGCCCGGTTGTCGCTCGGGTCCAGGTGGGAGGCCGTGAACGCGCAGGGGCCCTCTAAGGAGGCCGGCAGCGGCGCCTGCACTTTACCCTGGCCCGGGTCTGGGGCGGCAGGAGAGACCCCGGAGGGGCGCTCCCCCGGGAGGGAGGCCGGGCAGCCCCTAAGTGTCGCCGCACGGCCGTCTCGGTCCTTTTTGCCGGAAACCGACGGTCACCGTGACCCGTAGGCTGCGCTCGGCCGGGGAAGCGGAAAGGGGCCTGCCCGGCCTCCCCTCACGCAGCGCTTGGAGTTTACTCAGAGGTCAAAGAAAAATGTCAAGGAGAGCGACTGCCCGGGTCCCTCCTCCCTGGGCCCCGCTCTGTCTCCGGCCAGCTGCGCAGCCCCCGCTGGGTCCCAGGTGCTCCCGGGGAAGAGGACGGGACTCCACGCCCATTGAGTCCCACTTTCTACGGTCCCGTTCAGCTCCCCGCCGCCTGGGCCGGAGCTGCCCCGCAGGGAAGGGGTGGCAGTGGTCCTCCCGAATCCAGGAGAGGGGTCTGGTGAGGCTGGGGAGGGCGAGCACCGGGTCAAGGAGGGGCCTGGACAGCGGGCGCGGTCGGGGAGGAGGGATCTGACCAGGAGAGGAAGGGAGCCTGTTGGGGACAGAGAGGGATGCGCCGGTTTGGGCCACTGTGACGCTGCGGCCGCAGGATCTTAGGGCCTGCCTGGGAATCCTGCCTCTCGCTGGCCCCTGGGCACCTCGGTTGGAGCCCGAAAAGTCGCTCTTCCTTGGGGCGCCCTCAGTGACTCCAACGTCCTACCTAGTGCTGTCGGGAGGGTCACGCGGGGAGGAAAAACTCTTGGCTGCAAGTCAGGACTGAGGAATCCCGGAAGAAATAAAAATTTACACTTTTTTTAAAAAATTAAAGAGTGTGAACTCCGTCCTCGGCACAGTGATTGAGTTTAAATAACTATGATTATTGTATAGCCTTTCTTTATTGTAGAGTTAAAAAAAATCTTAAGGGACCCCTGCTAACCGGGAGATTTAAGAGAAAGCAATGGGTACCTTTGCTTAAAAGTGAGTCTGACCCTCTGTCCTGCCCAGGAGTGACCTGGGTCCCTGCTCCCCCAGGCCGAGGGGCTGTAACTACAGGTGCTTTCCTGCAGTCTTGTCCTGGCGCTGAGCCCTGCCAAGAGCCCTCCACTAATTAGAGGCATCTTGTCAGTCTTGACTTGAAATTGAAAGAAAATAATGTTTAAATATTTATGACTTTGACATTTACAGTCAGGCCGCCTCCTTCTGTACAGTGGCAGCTCCCACCCCCTGGGAAGTTTGGAGCAGGGGAGGGGTGAGGGGGAAGGTGGAGGAAGCAGCCGTCCCAAGCAGCCTGGTCACACAGGGAGCACGGGGTGTCTGTGTACCCCAGGGTGCAGGCGACACATATACAAGCACTTAATACTAAGTTGCAGAAGCAGGAAAAGTATGATTTTTTTATAAGAATCAGGAAGAGTAAGTCAACTTTATATCAGGTTAGATGCATCGAGAGTAAACTGAAGCACATTGCATATTTCTTCCACTCAACCATCTCCACCTGCAGCTCCTTGAACTTAGAATATAAAATATTGCAAAAGCTGTGATTTGAAATGCATATGTGACCACAGAGGCAATCAGTGGAATTGCTCTTAGAATCTGCAGACATTGTCCTGACCTATTTAAACTATTTTGATCTGTGCTTATAAGTGAAGGTGCCTGGGGCTTCCTTTATCTTCTTTGCCATTTATGGCAAAATACCTTCAAAACTTTTTTTTAAGCTGTCCACGTGGTAAGCCTAAAATAAAAGAAGAAAGAAGAAAAAAGAACATTGTATACCCAAACTTGATTGTGAGGCAGCCACACCAATATATAACTTTATGGTAAAAAATATTTGTTGACGGGTAGAAAATGTAGCATTTTCCCAAGGCTGTGCTACGCAACCAGTTAGCAAGAGCAATTCATTATCGAAATCACTGGCTTCAATTTTAAAACACACTTGTACCCAAAAACTTATGGGCACAGGCATGCAGCAATTTCATTGATACTAAACTTCTAATATCGTTTTCATTTGCATCATTTCCAAAGAATTTGATTTGCAAACCCAGCCGTATCCCGTGTTCCTCTGCACTTTTATGTTACTATAATTGTAAAGATCTTTTTCTCTGTAAAATTTAGAAATTAATTTTAGAGACTACTAATGAATGGTTAAAAACAAGTCTGTCTTTGGTTTCCCAGATGAACCATCTTAGAATTCTTTGGAAATTTCATGCTAAGTTTACTAAGATATATTTACTAAGATATAGTAACTATCACTTTAAAGCCGATCAAAATTTTTAACAGCTTTCAGGCCACAGGAATGACCAAACTTAAAAATATTGGGGGGGGGCGGTGTCTTAAAATATTTTAAAAGTATTTTTTTAAAGCTGTTAACTGAACTATTTTTAATTTGGAACTGGCCACAGAATTCTAATAGATGAGAGAAGTCAGGCGGAAATAATCATGTGTTAATTCTCTGCATTACAAAATCTTTTCAGAAGCTATTATCAGAGCAAGAGGCATTGCGGTCTGAATTCAGGGTGGGAGGAATCCTTTGTGCAGCTGAAGGCTATTGTTCGTTTGTGCAGATGAAATTGT